ACATTTGTCCAAACCTACAGAATGTGCAACACAAAGGGTGACCCCGGAGATAAACTATGGACTTTGGATGATGATGATGATGTGTCAGCGGAGGTTCACTGAGTGTAACAAATGGTCCCACTGGTGGGGATGTGGACAGGGGGGGAGAGGGTGGGGGAGCGGGTGTGGTGGGGGGGGGAGGATGGCAGAGTATATGAGACTTCTCTGTACCTTCTGTTCAATAGTGCTGTGAAATAAAACATAAAATCTAATAAAAATAAAAGCCTAATAAAACTGTATCTAAGATCACAGTTGTGCCCTTACTTGAACTGCTCGAAGCTACACATTTTACCTGAACTCCACATCCTTCCACATGGGGAAGGGAACAGGAAGGGAAGGAAAGAAGAGAGGAGTCTTAATTCTGAATTTAGAACCATGTACATGAGCTCCCTAGTAAAAGTTCATCTTTTTTCAAATGCACAAAATAGTATGACTTGGTCGGTTAAGTAAGAGAGGTTAATATGATTTACCTCAATCATGTCTTTGTGAAAAATAATTAAGGTCGTTAATTCTGTCTACAAGAAAGCACATCAACACCACAAGAGCGTTTCGTTTCCTTTCTTAGTTGCTGGTTGTCTGGAAGAGCTAAGCAGCAGCAAAGGAAGGGCAACACTGTCAGCCGGTGCCAGGATGGAGAATACAACAGACTGAGACCCTCAGCGCCAGGCCCCATGGGGGCAAGTGTGCGGCTCTTCCAGCTACTGCTGCACTCCACCTCTAAGGCGCAGTGCCCCTCTGCGGTGTGGGTGTGAAATCCAGGCCAGAGTCTCCCCAGCAGGATGGAGCCTGCTCCGCGCTGTCCCGGATCTCCATGAACAGACACTTGTGCTGGTTCAGGCTGCTCGGCTCTGGAGATGCAGTGCACAAGTCAAACATGGGCTTTGATTTGCGCAGCCTACGTCCTAGAGTGACAAGCCAACCAGGAACTAAGGTAACTCTAGGTGCAGGAAACAGATCTGGGTGAAGAAACAGGTTGTGCCTGGGGGCCTTACTGTTGTCTGTGTGGCCAGGGGAGGCCTCTCTGAAAGCAGCACTTAAGCCAACAATCAGAAGCCACTGTGCAAACTTCAGGAGAGTCTCCAGGCCAGGAAAGAGCCCGTGCAGAACCTGTGAGGAGCAGTGTGCTCATGGGGCGCTGGGAGCAAGGGGGGCCAGAGAAGGGGCAGGGCCAGACCCGGGGCCTGCAGACACACTGGAGGGCTGGGGCCTTAATCTAAGGGTCACGGGAAGCCCCTGGAATGTACATCAGGGGAATAACATGATTTTTCTAATGTAAAACATGGCTCTGCCTGGATGTGATGGGTAACCATCAGGGAAGCTGCTAAGGGGGCTTTGCAGGGCTGTGAGTGGGAGGTGACTGAGGTGGTGACCACAAGGACCGAGGGAGCAGACAAACTCAAGAACCTGTTTGCAGGTAAAGACTGTAAAGCTGGCTGTGGGGTGAGACTGGAAGAAAATCCAAGATGACTCGTAGGTTTCTGGATGCAGTAGCTAATAATTATAGCCAGTACTTGCTGGTTTTTGAGAGCTCATATGTCAGGCATCGTCCTAAATACTGTTTTACACACAGGCACACATCCACACACTTGTTGAACACTCACAGGATTGCTGTCGGGAAAGGAGTGTTATTATCCTTCTTTTACAGGTCAGGAAACTGAGGCACAGAGGAGTCAAAGACATGCCCAAGCTATGCAGGTGGATGTGGTGGCTGACTCCACTGCCCTTGCTCTACCCACTGCTGGCTCCCAAGGACCCAGGAGGAGGATGGGTGTCCACTGAGGTGGGGAAGGGGCAGATTCAACCCCCTTCGGGACATATCACTCTACAGATGTCTGTGATCCACTCAAGAACTGCCACCTGAGCCCACTGAGGGCCGCACATGGGGACTGTCAGAAAGCAAGGGGCTCTGGCAGGGCCGAGATGGGCAGAGCGTGCAGTGCTGGAGCAGCCATGTGTGTAGGGAGGGAGGCTGCTGCTAAGTCGAATGCTGGACACGGCACAGAGACCACAGGCTGGAGCCCCCACAGCTGGCTCTCACCGCAGCAACACAAGGCCACTGCAGGAATGCCTGGGTGGCACAGTCAGTGAAGCATCTGCCCCGTGTCAGGCTCCCTGCTCAGTAGGGAGCCTGCTTCTCCCTCTGCTGCTCTCCGCCCCCCTGCTCATTCTCTTTCTCTCTCAAATGAATAAATAAAATCTTAAAAACAAAAACGAGTCCACTTACTTACTGATCCCCACTCTGCATGCTTTCATGAATATTATTTACTGGATTCTGGACATCTATTTATACTCTGCCATTCTTTTTTTTTTTAACATATATCTTTTAAAGATTTATTCATTTATTTTAGAGAGTGAGCAGAAGAAGGAGAGGCAAAGAATCCCAAGCAGAGTTCCCGCCAGGTGCGGAGCTCAACTCAGGGCTCGATCCTACTACCCCGAAACCATGACCTGAGCCAAAATCAAAAGTCGAGGACACTCAGCACACTAAGCCACCCAGGTGCCCCTATACTCTGCCATTCTGATAGAGTAGACTCTCACTCCTCCCTGTTTATAAAACAGGCTCCTCTCAGGGGAAAGGTAGCTCAAATTTTCTAAAATAAATCTAGGGGGACACTTGGGTGGTTCAGTCGCTTAAGCATCTGCCTTCGGCTCGGGTCATGATCCCAGGGTCCTGGAATCGAGTCCTGTATTGGGCTCCCTGCTCAGTGGGGATCTGCTTCTGCCTCTGCCGCTCCCCCTGCTTGTGCTCTCTCTCTCTGACAAACAAATAAATAAAAAATCTTTTAAAAAAACCTTCCACATCTATATTAAAAATAAAATAAATCGGGGCGCCTGGGTGGCTCAGTCATTAAGCGTCTGCCTTCGGCTCAGGTCATGATCCCAGGGTCCTGGGATCGAGGCCCGCATCGGGCTCCCTGCTCGGCAGGGAGCCTGCTTCTCCCTCTCCCTCTGCCTGCCTCTCTGCCTACTTGTTCTCTCTCTCTATCTCCCTGTCAAATAAATAAATAAAATCTT